GACAAAGATCCAATTAATCACCACCATTTTGCTCTCAAATGCATGCGAGAGTGATCAATTACTATGTCGATATCATGATGAACACATATATTGCTTAACATACAGTGCACGTGTGTGTATGTAGCTAATCAACCACTGAATTTCATTATTACTCACAAAGTAAAAAAACACGATTGATTAGACATCAAATCCAGAGGGGTGTAGCTCACCGGTGACTAGTGCCTGTCGAGCCTGGACATGCCAACCATGGAGGCCGCCACGGGGGCGTAGTAGTAATAGTGAGTCGACCCCGATACCACCTGAGTCGGGGCTCGCGTGCGGCGGAAGGCCATGCCGGAGAACCGCACGGCCACAAGCAGCGCCGTGCCGAGCTCCACGGCCATGGCGACGACTTCGTGCAGCCGGCAGATGCTCCTCCGCATGACCACCCCCAGCACCACATGGATCGCGCAGTCCATGGACGACATCGGTCGGCCGGCCAGACGGCCGGCGTCAAATGTGAGATCGACCCTCGCCGGTGCCGACGACCTAGCTTCTTTCTAGCTAGTTAGTTTTCTTTGGAAGCCTGGCGTTGTGTGTTCGGTCTAGCTAGCTAGCTTGCGGCGTGTGTTTTAGACGGCAGGTCTGTTGCTTTTGTCATCTACCTTCCAATATAGATTTGGTAGCTAGTGTATGTGATGCCGATGGCCGTCTGATGGATCGATGCGGGTTATGTAGATTCATGAATTTTTACCAACTTACTATTTGTAAACCTTAAACAATGAAATTAGTTAATGTCTTCATTGTCCAAAAAATAGTTAATCACACAGTAAGCGTGTTGGGGCAAGGAGAGGAATGCATGAAAACAGGACAAAGTTTTGTTTTCAATTTCTCTCTTTCTTTCCAGAACATTTAGGTAGTACGACTTGTAGTTGTGGCTACTCCGTCATCTAAAAATGCAAGGTGTACACGGCAACAGAAAATTATGTTTTGCCAACAATTTAACTAGAAAAGTAGTCAAGTGACACAAAAATGATACGATCTTTAGATTAATTAGCTGAATGCCCGTGCGTTGCCACGGAACAATAGACTTAGACATGAGACATTGCTCAAAATAAATCAAATATTTCATAACAATATGTTTGAGCGGTGATACGCGCCGGCGCGCCAACCCAAATTTGGGCCGGTCGGCCTCCTGCCGCCCGATCCAGCAGGCAGGGGCCGTCCGATCCGCCTTCCCCCATGTCATGATCTTCTTCCCCCTCTACCCCGCGCACGCGTCTTGGTTCAGATCCGCCAGTGACATGTCCCTGCCCCAGCCACCACGAGTGTGTGCTCCGACGAGACGCGAAAGCACCCGCGTCCTTTCCCTCACCGTTGCCGCTCGTCGCAGTACCCAGCTGCTCGTCGTTACAACCTCTCTTGGATCGCCGATGTCACGTTTTTTTGCTCCGACGATGGTAGCAAAAGAAATCGTCGGTTCCAGCTTTTTTGGTCGTAGCATCGGCGGCCAAAACTTCAACATCGCCGCTTGCAACATATATAGCCGCGAGTTGTAGCTTTTTCTGTTGCCGGTTGTAGCATTTTCTCCAGCGGGATGCATCTTCCTTGGTCGCCAGTAGCAGTCATCTACCTCACATGCCAAAAAAATCACCGTCGCCGATGCAACAAAAACTGGCCGCTGGTTGTAGCTTTTTCTAGGGCGGTTGCAGCACTGGCGCATGAGTTTGCAGCTTCCACAGGCCACGGCCCATCGTCGCAGCCCCGATGCTCACCACAGGCCATGTAGCGAACAATGGTCAGCGAGTTGTAGATTTTTCTTTTGCCAGTTGTAGATTTTTGTTCCACGGGATGCATCTTCATGATAGCATGTAGCGAACAAGGACGCCGGTTGTAGCAATTTGTGATGCCGGTTGTAGCTTGCAGCTCCGGTGATGTCCTCGCCCATCCCATCCCCATGTCAGGTGCACCCCGTCGTCACAGCTTCTCGTGCCTTGGGTGTACCTCGCCGAGATGGTGAGCTAGGAGCTATCGCTGGCCGTGCGGAGAGGAACTGGAGATGGTGAGCTAGGAGAATCGCCGGCCATGCGAAGGACGACGACCTCACCGGTGAGATTGGGCTGCAGCGAGGTAGGGGCCGATGCGGGGGTGGACGACGGCCTCGTCGGCGAAATTGGGCTGCAACAGGGGGTGGGGAGGGGGTGGGGATGCAAGGGTAAAGAGCGGCCTCGCAGATGAGATTGGCCTGCAGCAGGGCAGCGCGATTTGCGGGGCTTGCGGAAACAGGAGCGCGTGGTAGCGGGCGAACGGCCAAAACTCCGGCCGGCGTGCCATCTCCACACATTTTCCTATATGTTTTGAGAACAGAGTTGTAGGTGTCATACATATATTTCTTGCAATCAGTTCAAAACAAATCAAACATATCTCTCTTCCATGTAGTTCTTCGGTAAGTCAATTAATTGCTTGCTAGAGTAACAGGAACTTTAGTATACACTCAAAGGATTAAACAAGATTAATCTTCGATTTCTACGTGGAGCTGAATATAGTTCACAACCACAGGAAATTATACAGGCATAAAATAGACTATGACCACAACCATACAAACGAAAACAGGCAATATTTTTGTACGTACCTCGATACCTTAGCAGCAAAATTTCTATTTCATTGCCAAGCACAACCTACAGATCGAGTCACATTACTGCTACAGTTGGTGAGATATTGTCAAGCTTAGTGACAAAAAAATAAATCATATTGTACCATCCCTTTAGCTGGTGACCTCTTGGAATTAAGTATATATGATTTCCAAAAACAAGAAGTGAGATGTTGTATCCGGGCCTCACCCAAACACACTTCTGTTCATTCTCTTGTTGTTTATGTTCAATAACCTACAATAGAAAATGGTGTCAAGAAAGACCAACATAATAAAATGGGTTGCAACATATAGTCAATAACCTCTAGCTAGGTGCATGCCATATTTCTTTTATGAAAATCAGAACAAAGTTATTTATGTGCATCTCTAGTTAGAAACCAACTGAAAATTAATAAAATCTCTGAGGTTGAAACGCATAAAAACTAATGGACTAAGAAATAGCAGGATTGAGCACCACATCACAGGGGTTGCATGTTTGATAGGGTAATCGTTAAGACTAAGGTCGATCCATGATGAACGAAAGCCTGCACAAATGGTCAAATTCTGTAAAAAAAACCAACAAACAAATAATATTCAGAGGACTGTCAACTAACACCTCAGGAGCATTTTGAAGCAGGCAAATATCATGATTATCATGATTCTCGACAAGTTGAGAATTGTACCTTAAGCTTGACCTCCTATATGAAGTATCTTATAGTACAACATAGCAAGGTAGCCTATATGAAAGAACAAATGGGACAATAAAAACAATTACTACTCAAGCTGACCGATCAAAACCTAATTGAACACATGCGATTTCAGAATCCGCTCCATTCGCAAAAAATGGAAAAGCAGCAAAACATGAACTATATCAATAAATCTAGTAATAGACTAATAGTTAGGTTAGATGATTGCTTAGCACTACTTGAATTAGCACAATGAGTCTAGAACTCTAGATAAAATGGTGAAATCAGCAGCTTGATAGTTCTCTCTGTTGGGTGCCTATAGATCTCACATGCATATAGCCAGATTTCACCAACGATTGCTTGTCCAGAGTAATATAGAAATTCTAATTCTACTTAGAAAGGTGATACATGTAGCTCCTAGGTTTTATCACCGTGAGTTGAAGTATAAACAGTAAATACGTCACATACCAGTGTGCGCGTGCGTTGCTAGTCGATCAATAGAATCCACCTGCTAGTCGATCAATCAATCCACCAATTGGATCCATCTCAAGGCAAAGCTAGCTAGCTACATTGTTAGCTGATTTAACCCCTTAAGGCAAACCAGGTTTGCTATGTGTTCGTTTTGCCATCGAGCGAAAGCGCCGGCCAGGCGGAATACTGGTTTCACAGGAACGGAGACAATCAGACAATGGCATCGAAGGAAAAGATCAAAGATCTACGCACCTGTGACACTGTCCTTGACGGAGGCAAAGGGCGTCAAGTTTGAGCTGTTGGTCCTCGCCGTAGCCGCCTGCGATGAAGACGACCCGTCGGATTCTCATACAGGAGGACGCACACCCTCCTCGCATACTTCACAGCTGCCACAACCCCAAATCGGGGAAGCTGCCGGCCGCGAAAGACATCTTGGAGCAAGTGGATGGAGGGCAGAGACGGAGCAGGACTCAACGGTGAGAGGGCGAGCCATCACCCCTCGTCGCCACGACCGAGTCCACTGAAGTTTCTCGGGAGAGATGAGATTGGAATCGATGGGGTTGGAGGAGTTGGGCTGACTCCAACTAAGAAAGAAGAGGAGGGGGTTGGAGAGAGTTGGGGCGTGCGTCGTGGGGAGTCGGTCTTGGCTATTTTCCAGTGTTTTCTTACCGCATTAATGCCATGCATCTCGTTTGTGGGTTGAGCCGAACTGTTTTTTTCTTGGTCGTGGTTTTCTGTGCGTGGGCTGGTTTGGAGTTGGATTTTTGGGCTGCTGCGGGCATAGCCCTCGCGCGCGATGGTTGTCGTACGAAGGGGGGAGGTGGGGATGTGGTCGAACCATCACGACGTTCGATCCTCCTTTAATAGTAGAGATATTCATAAGTATTTTTCACTGATGCCATTTGTGTTTCACATATATTTTTCACATTTGCAAGTCTAATTGTTAGGTAAATTTAGATATTGGAATATGTGCATGTCTTGGAAAAGGATGGAGTAGTTTCGAGCACAGAGAAAGGACTGGCTGATTATTATTTTTTGACAGAATGGATTTCTTTATTATTTTTTGGCTGAATTGCTTAATTAATTAACACCAATTTGTGGCATCTCATCAAATGTGGATATCCGTAAGCTTGCGCAGTTGCACTCGATTATTATAACTAGGCATAGTACCATGTTCTATTGACACAAGAGCTAGGTACTGTATATCAGATCCTACCATGTGTGCATGTCGTCATTACAGTTACTCAATGGCCACATCATGGTTGTATGTTTAGAGAATCTCTATATGCACGCCGTGGTGCATCCATGGCCTACTTGCACATTACTATTCCTCTCTCAACAAATGGGCACATCTCTTGTCATTTTTTTTGCGAGAAGATCTTGTCATTGTTAGTATAGACAAAAAATACTATTCACAAAACAAATCATGACTGTGCATAGTGTCGACTGAACGATTCAACTGTATGTAACACAAAAAAAACTAAAAGTTTAATCTCCAATGGAATGATTTGTAATGCATGTTTTTTCAGAAGACGGTGGCAGGAAGAACCATAGACTTCCTAAATTCATGTGCACTAGAAGCTTACTAGACTGAATTTGCACCCAATTATAAGGGTTTGTCGGTTTACATCATTTAACCTCGGTCAATGGCCTTTGACAAGACGGTATTTGTGCCAAGTGGCATTTTCTAGCACACACTTAACGGAAGGATGATTTTGAGTACTAGAAACTTCTAATGGAAAAACCGAGTAGTGTGACATAATTAGTGGCAAAATGATAAAAAACGTGAAATTAAAAGTTCAATTATCGAATTCCAAGTGTTTTAGTCCTCCAAAATTCGCACAAATATCCTTTGAATTAAATATAATATAGCATCAAAAATGGAAAATCGTATATCTATTTTATCAAGGAATCCAATTTTTTTTATTAATTTCATTACTACCTCCCAGGTTCTTAACATCTTGTCCTCAAAATTAATTTAAATTTTTTATAAAAATATTAATTAAAAAGTCTTAATGAGGACGGCAAGGTCAGTCACTCACATGGGGCATAGCTTTTATCACCTTTGCCAACCTGCCGAGGTGACTGTAACACGATGTGCTCATTCCCATGTGCTTTGCACCGTCTTTGACACTTGATGTTCTCAATCAATCATGTTCAATGACCATGCATGACAAAAGTTTATGGCTTTCTTATTCAAATGACTTTTATAGAATTTAGAGCGTATGAATTCTTAGTAATTCTCCATGTGTAGGTCATTTTAATCGCTTATAATTTTTTCTAAGGATTTATTTGACACTATTTCAGAAAATTTCCATTCACTCAAACATTTTGCAAATATAGTATCTTTGTTTCCTTGTGGTGTGTCAAATACTCTGTATACTAATTCCTGTAACTTGCAGATCATATTTTTTATGTAACCTGCAGAAATTAGCATAAAAGAGTATTTGTCATACCATAGTCCTGGACTTTTTCTTGCCATTGTGTTTAACAAATCATGTGAATCAAAAGAGGATCTTAATAGGCTGGTGAATAATTTTTTCGCTTCGACATAGCCATACTAATTCTCGACTAACACAAAATGCTTGTACATGTTTAAGGTGAAATTAAGCATAAGGGTTGGATGGGGTATTGCAAGCCTATATATGTCGTTGAAAAGTAAATACATTTTTAATAATTAATTAAATAAATAAATGTGTGTGAATATTTCTATAGTTGGACCACCCTGATCCATTGAGCTGGATACGCCATTGTATAGCCATGCTAGTATCGAAATACAATATTGTGGGAATGGGTTTATATATACAAGAAAAGAGAGAAGCGGTCTATACGTGGGTGAAGTCAAAGAAACGGTAAGAAGCCCATTGTTGGACAGCGAACTCATCGTGTTCTCTGAACGTTTTAGTTGTGTAAAATTAAGTACAGTACCAGTCTGTTTAGAAATTGTTTGACCAGCCCCTTATGTAATACTTCTATTACTAGGAGTACATGGTACTGAACGGACGGTTGGCTGTGTGTGTGTGGAGGGCCCGGATGAGGACATGATGTGGTCATCGGCCGGTGGCACACATACCAAGGGTGGGGGTCGACATCTTGTCTTGGGTTAATTTGGCGTTTGCTTGATGGCCGTTGTCCCTGAGTCATCTCCATGCTGATTGATGCAAGGATACAATGCTTGTTTAATTTTGTTCTCCGTGAGTTGGTATGTGTGGGTGCATCCCACCTGGCATACATACATACTGTTCAAGCATAGGACCCAGCATAGTTTCGCGTCGGCCGGCAACGTGCGAGCAAGATTTTGGTCCCCTGAAAAAATGTCTTATGGGGCATCGAGATTTTAGTTATCATGGTAGCGAAAAATACCGAACAATTTTTCTTTTGAATGAATTTTGAATCTGATTAAAATTCATCTAAAATTCAGTCTGAATTCTTTCAAATTCAAAACTTTTGGAATTTTTTTCCATGTAAGGTGATTTCTTGTGGGGTACTGGGATTTGTGGTTGCCGCCCGTTAACTAATTATTATTTTTCCGCCAGAACCCAAAACCTTGCGTGCGGGTACGTAGGTACACGCTGCAACTACTACCTCTGTTCGGGTTTGTTAGTCCCTCTCGTATTTTAGGTTTGTGCGCTGGTTTCTTTATCCGGTGGACCCAAAGAATGAGGTCGTCGATGATTCGCTTAAGGGTGAAGATGTTGTGGTGGTTCTGTTGCTTGAAAGTCGTAGCGTTTCTGGAGTCCTATATCTTCCACAAGATGATGAGGAGGATGGAGTGCCAGATTAGCGCATCCACCCGGCTAGGGAGACGACAGTCCCAAAGGTCATCGATGGAGCTGGGGGGTGAGAGTCCGACCCGTTGCCCTATCCGCTGTGCATGCGGGCAGTCAATGAAGATGTGCGAACTGGTTTTGCCGTCAAACCCACATCGTGGGCTGAGTGAGTCCGAGATGATGCGTTTGCGGATGAGGTTGCTTTTGGAGTTGAGACGTCCATGGAACATGAGCCATGCAAAGATCTTCACATGATTTGGAACGCATGCAAATCAGATGGCAACAACATGCACGTCATATCGTTGTCGCCAGGACCAGATGAGCGCTACCTCTATAGTGGACTAGCAAAATGTTAATACTCCCTCCGGTCCTTATTACTCCATGTATTATATATTTTTCTCTAGTCAAACATTGTATAGTATGACCAAATTTATATTAAAAAATATCAACATCTACAATACCAAATATGTATACTATGAAACTAGAGTTCATAACGAATCTAACAATATTGATTTGGCATTGTGATTTTTTATTATTTTTTCTATATGTTTGTTCAAAGTAGAGATAATTTGATTTTGGACAAAAAAAGGACCGGAGGGAGTACATGTTATCCAAAATTATATTGTCGGGTTCCTATTTGAATGTAGTTTGCAGTGATATTATTTTTGCTACATATAATTTATAATTTATTAGTTAATGTTATGGTCAAAATATGATGCAAAATACAAGGAGGATTAGTAAACCTGGGCTGGGAGGTGGTATGTTCCGACTTCCGAGGTGAAAACTTTCTCCTTTCGTAGTGTTACCATTTTATACTTGGCTTTTCCTTTTGCAAGTGAAAAGAAAAATCTCACCCACATCTCCAATGAAAATCTCTCACCCAACCTCCATTTGTCAGGGTGGGATTAAATTACAAATAAATTGGTTTTGTACCTCTAAAGTTGTCGGTGGAGAATAATACTGATATTTCATCTTAGCTTGTCTACTTGGCATGATCCAAATGAAGGCCATGCGTTTGGCAGCTCTGATCCCGGCGTTTACAGTATCAGTAGGGACTTGGGTTTCTGTAATGTAATATGTGGACGTCACCCTTTTTAGGGTCTGTATGAACTTTTCTTTCTATCATCACATTGAAACGCAAGGCTTTTTACCTGTTGTTTAAAAAAATGGCTTTTCCGTTCTGACAGGATTGGTCCACCTATCAGTCTTACATGCCCCGAGACGTATATGAATTTGTTTGGACATCTCCTCCGTGGCTACTTCACCCTTTGCTCGCGCGCCACCACTCACCACAAAGCATGGCAAGAAAGATGGTATACAAAATTTATTTTTTGAGGGCAGAAAAATGATACAAATTGAGAGGGGAAATCAACACAAAATGGATCTGGCTGGAAGAACTCCATCTAGCGGCGAAATGACTATTGGGCCCGGCGATGGTGCGCCGGAGTTTCAACAGCTGACAGCCGAGCGCGCGGAGTCCGCTACGGCGCGATGTCAGGAAGGTCCATCTTCATCGCCGTAGCGACGATGCCATGCCATGATGGACCGTCCCAACACCGTCTCCATTCCCATTGTTCGATCCATTTTGCTGCTCATCAACCGACAGCGGAGGTGGATGGCCCATACTGACACTGAGAAGCTCCTGCATGCTCTGCTACTGCTCCCTGTAGGAAACATCCGTGCTCTGTCTAGTGTCTACACAGCATCCATGTCCATGTCCAAACGAAATTGTTGAAATTATTTAGTATGCCTTCCGTATATAGAAAACAATCAGTGATCCAACACGATATTCCATAAGAATCATTGCCACGAAATACAACATATATAAACTGTCCTTTTCAGAAATGCAAACAGTGCAAGGAATAAATGTTCAGTTGCATACGTTTGATGCAAGAAGCAAACTTACACATACAACAATAACAAGAACATATGATCGAGATAATCTTGCATAATTAGAGGAGAACCCAAGCAAAGTGTAATCGTGCATAATCTTGGAGACGAAGGAGAAACAGTTTGTCGAGATATCTAGCAGAACAAAGCAAAGTGATAGCTCGATATTCCCGACTGGGAGAAAATGCAGTAATCCATCTCCGTCCGCTGCAATACGACATAAATGTTGGAGACACCTCAATGTTCCTTGCCATGCCTCATCTTGTTGCTCCATAGAAAAGAATCGACTTCCCTGAAAATCGGTGTCTCTACGAGAATGGTTGAACTCTCAAAATTACTCATGTGTTGCCGAGTTAATCAAACAGTGCTAACATATAGGACTGCTTTACTTCAAGCTATATGCAACTCAAATTTTATTGTGCACACTCAGACCTAGACATTTGCAAAGACTTGCCTACCGCTCGTTAATAAGAGAAACGGAAGCACATAGAACAATTGCTGGAGTACACACTCGCGCTAGGGTTCCCCCGCTCCCC